AAGGAGGATGGCCCAGGGGCGACAAGTGAAGAAAAGGAAGAAAAGGATGGCCCAGGGGCAACAAGTGAAGAAAAGGAAGAAAAGGAGGATGGCCCAGAGGCAGTAAGCGAAGAAAGAAGAAAGGAAGATGAAGGAATGCAAAAGATGATGAACTACAGCGGCCGACAGTTGCAGCTGGCGGTGCTTATGGCACTCATCGCCAAATCAAGGGCCCAAGGAAATCAGAGTGATGAAGACGAGAATCCCTCTGACCATGCTGGTTCTGAGCCGCTTCAAATGTTCATGATGCTGTACACCATCCTTGTCATCTTGGCCACCCTGCTTTTCAGGCGCTTCTGTGCTTGGTTGCTGGCACCAGCTATCAATGATGGTGACGCTGCTGCTGGTCAACAATATGAGCCCCCGGCACTTGGGCCACCTGGTAGTTCCACGTCGGAATCCCAGGGAAGTTCCATCACCGTTGACTGGCAAGGCCGTGAAGTCAATAGGCCTAGTGCCAGATCAAAAGGAAAGAGAAAAGGAAAAGGGCAGGGCAAAGGAGATCCTCAAGATGGTGAGCCTGTTGATTGGGCGTATGGTCCAGCGCGCCCCATGACAGCTGAAGAGAGAAGCCAGTTTGGATTACAGAACCGTGAATGGTTGCTGCGATGGCTTTCCTCTCTTACTCCCGAAGAGAGGGCACAGGCTGGCATACCTCCGACCTCGAGCTCATCCGGACAAGCCTCCCAGCCTCAGTCGGATGTCACGCTCACTGGCATCCAAGAAGAGCCTGAGCAGGAGATTCCTGCTGGCGATCATGAAGTACCACCCGAGGTTCCACCACAAGAGTCTCCGGCCAATGAGGATGAGACTCTCTACCACCCTACAGAGAGGGATTACCGTGATATGATGGCCGATGAAGCATGGGATCCAACACCACCTCAACCGAGACCGACAGGTCCTTCAGAAGCGGCTGCAAAGGCATGCCCAAGGGCATTTCAGCGTGATGGCGAACCGCCAATCGGGGATGGAGGCCGGAGGTACCAAGGGATGGGTGTCTACATCACCAAGTATGGGCAAAAGTACCATATTTTCACTTCTTGCCCTACGCTCACCTCATCCGTGCTCCGAACCTCACCTCCATGCCACCGTTGCGCTTTCACCATCGACATGGCCCATGTTCGAAGAGGTGAACACCTTTGGTCTCGTGGATGGGGCGAGATCTACCATGTGGATGCTGCCAGACCACCGGCATGTTCAACTGGAGCTGAGAAGAAGTATGCCCCATGTGTTCGATGCCTGCAGGAGCTCCGGGAACGGGAGCTCAATATGTGAAGGAAAGTGGTGGAAGGGAAGAAAAAAGGGGGGCCGCCTAGTTGCGCTTGGCGACCTTCCTAAGGCCATTTTGGCCATTGTGGTGAAGCAAATGCCTGTTGGCATTACGGTTTTGATGAAGAAAGGAGAAAAGAAAAGAATGGGGTGCACACTGGGCTAATGGCCTGCAGGATACAGTACAACTGCTTTCAACGAATGCATGGGCATTGTTGGTTTCATCTTGCTGCCACACGGCCTGGTTGGCCTTTGAACTGACAGATGAAAAAGCTGTCAACCAATGGGGCTTGAGCTGATGGAAAGCCTGCCCTCATCACACATGCTGGAAGAAGGGTCCTAGACCTGGAGTACTCGTGTGGTGAGGAGCATGGCATCACGATGTCTTCAAGGAAGACAGGGGGAGTGTTGATGCATGACCCCTGCACAAAGATGACACGCTTTTGCATGCTGCATGTCTGTGCAGCCCTTTTAGATGAAGTTGAGGTCAAGACACCTCAACGGGGCGAGAAGACCCCACCAAGACCACGAAGTCAGCAGAAAAGCAGAGCATCCTTTTTGCGTTGTCTTGAGGGTTGTTTTGAGAGGGTTTTACTTGGGTGAGGAACATGCCCGACCACCAACAGAAACTATCCAAAATCCAAGATCAAGCAGCTCCTGCAAGCTGGATGCCATCACCAGCAGCTTGTCGTCAGCCTTAAGTCGATAGAAGCAACTCGACCCTCTTCACGAAGAGTCGCATCACAAAGAGTTGCATCATTGCGACAGGCTTGGCATGACTAGTGTGGCTGGGGCTCGAACAGTAAGTGGACTGCTATCATCAGGGGCCAAATCAAGACGAGTTCCACCAGGCTTTTCAGGATCGAGGACCTCGGCAGTCAAGAGCACAGGAGGAAAGCTCGGAAGACCACTAGAATGCCAAGGCATCCTACACAAGGCCATGCAACGTTGCCCGCCCTAAAAGAGGAAAACATGCCGCTGGCCTCCACAACTCCCAAACCAGGACGCTACTAGGGGCTCCTGGCCTTACTACTAGTAGCAAGGACGCTACTAGGGGCTCCTGGCATCGCTACGAACGGAGCGATCGGACGCTACAGCCCGCGACTCTACCGGTGCCGGACTCCGCGCCGCGACTCCCCGACCCGAGTCCTGCCTGCACACCGATGCACATGGCTGGCTCGCAGTCTTTCCTCGCTTGGCCAAAGGTCGTCCATGGAGCCCAGGGGCTGATGACCTCGACGGGGATGACGTCGACGGACGGTTTCCGGGATGACTTGATTGGGACTTGGTAGAGCACTCAGATTTGGTGTCTCCAAGGAAGGCTCGGATTCACAAAGCAAAAACAGGCGTTCGGATGTTTTTCTAGCTGACTCCAAGTTGAGAACAAAAGAGAGGAATCTACTTGCAAACAAAGGTCGTAGAGCTCATCGCCAGCAGCAAAGGAGCACAAATCCGCCAGCAAGCCACCTAGAAGAAATCCCATGATTTCTTCCACCACAAGCTCAAATCCCCAACCATCCAGTTTGGCTGTTCATTCTTGCGCTTCTTCCATGAAACTGCGCGCAACGAGGCAGGAACCCACCATTTGGTCTGAGGCCAGCAATGCCAAGATATGGTTGCAAGCAGCTCGTGCTTGAATCACCTGCGTCCACGTAGGGCCGGCGATCGACGGACGACGGTTCGGCCGGTTCGGCCTGAATCCCCGCTTTCGGGTCTGGGTGCAAACGTCGCAGGACGGTCTCCACCTCATGAGCTTGAGCCTCAGCAGGTGGACCGTTGCTCACTCAGACAAAGCATGCAAAGCAGAGACTGGACCAGATCTTTGGCTAGAAGGACTTCTTCAAAATGATAATGCACCTCCCTGAAACCACCAATCCTCACGTGACCACTGGCAGTGTAAGAAACCACTCCGTAACGGAGGGTGCCTCGGCAAAAATCCTGCAGCGCGCAGGTTCTCGGAGAGAAGACAAGGCGAGCATGATGCGGACCTTCAAAAGTAGAAAGCAGTGGTGGTCTAAAGACCCAAGTGGTTTGCAAGACAGTCTTCCGCAACTTGTGCAGGTCAAAGCTTCTGCTGAGCTAGCGAACCGTCTCTAGATCTGCAATTCGAGGATTTCCATCGCGGCTAAGGATGATGATTTCCTGCCGTCAGAAGGTTTCAAGGTTACAACACAGCTTGGCTCGAGGCTTGCACATGTGCGCATGGATTGGAAGAGGAAGTCCCCTCTTGGCCCACAGGAATTTAGCCTCTTCTTCCCATGGAGGGTCTTCCCATGTCACACCATGTCTCAGTTTTTGTCTCCTGGGCCATTGAAGCACCAGCTCGTTCCAGTGCATCGGTCTCATGAGCCACTCCTTCCCGAAGCATCACCGACTTCAACAATCTCCAGCGCCTGGACACGATGTCCGACCCGTGGAAAAAGAAGGTTCTCTTGCGCCTCCGGTTCACCGATTGTCCCACATACACACAAAGTGAGAAAGTGTGATAAGTCATTCAAGCTCTTCCAATATTCTGTTTGCTGCGAGGTGTTGCTTCTCCAGATGGTGCAGTTTTGTCTATCCATCCGAAGAAAAGAGGTGACCAAACAAAACCTATTTTGGCCCTGTCGAATCAGCTGGAACGTGTCAGTTTCGAACACTCGCTCCCATGAGATGCTTCCTTGATATGATTCACTCACCGTAAACCGTAACCTTTTATCATCCTTATCTCTCATGCGCTGAAATCAATGGATATGAATATGTCATATGTTGTACCATGCTACGTTGAAATCACAAAAGTAATTTGTGTAACCTCAAAAAGAATTGTCTCTTTGAGACACTCCGGTGATCTATGTGTTGTTTGGCATCAATCTTTCTTTTAGTGAGGAAAGAAGTGAGCACTTCGATGTTGTCATCTTTGCAACCCGAAACGACATCGAATGGCTCACTTCGTCTTGAAGGTTTGTTTACCAAGCAGAAAAAGGGCGTAACAACTTATTGAAGGATTTTGACCCTGAAACAACTCCGTCTTGAAAGGTTTACCAAGCAGAGGTCTTGGTCGAGGAAAGCAGGATTGAAGGAGTTCTTCAACAAACCACCGCTCAATCTCCTGATCTTTGGGAATGAAGCGACCTCTGCATCGTCTCGATCAACCTCTTTGACACACAGTGCATCGCCCGACTCATTGCCCGACTCATCGCCGTTTATGCTGCAATTGTTTAAGACGTCATGACAATGCGCTGATTCTCGTTGGGAACAGGAAGCATTGAGTCTGCTCAACTGAGCAGCGAGAGACTACCAAAATACCAAGCTAATCAATTCTGAATATCCCTCATTCTATTTATATATATATATATGGGTGTGTATTTTCAATGGGAGACCTCCAAGCCAAAGACCCCTGGAAGAGGGAAAATAAACAATGTTTTTTATCTTTACACCGTCTCCTCTCTGACCATTTCAGTCACCATTTCAGTCTGCAGGAGACGAAGACGTTTTCCAACACCTGGACGCATGACACCTTTGACAGGAACGCATCTGGCGCCTGTCGAAGAAAGAGTTCCTCTCCCAGAGCTGATAGAAATGTTGTTGCACTTCTTGCTGCATCAACGACTGCTCTCGGTCGGCCAAGATGACCACGGGTACCGTGTCTCCATTGGAGCAGAGAGCTTCAAAGAGCTCATTGAGCAAGTACAAAGTCTTTTCACTCCAGCCCAGGATCAGAATGTGATTTCCATACCAAATGCGGCTTTTTGTCTTGGTCCAGTGGTCCATGCTCGACCTGATCCACTCCACCTCAGTTCAACATAAATACCTTCCATGAGCTCACAAGGTGTCGATCTCATGTGCCTCGTGCTGTGCTTTAAGGATCCCACAATGATCCCAAGAAACGTCCTCAATTGAAAACTTGTTCAGTTGCAGTTCACTGGTCAAGTCGCCCGCAACACTGTGACTTTGGATCCAAACAGTGCGAGATTTCAGTGCAAACGAGCTTCAAATTGTAGAGGAAGCCAAGAACTGAAAATATCAATGCCGTGGCTTTTACTTTGACAGGAGCATCTGCACTGACACCTTGACAGGTTTTCGTTTTCACTGTCACCAATCACCTTTGCCTAGACCACAGTGTGTCTGCTTTCAAAATCCTGGAAGGACTGGATGCCAAAGACTACAAAGCTGGTTCTCAAACCCTCTGAGTCCAAGACCGGTTTGAGTCCCAGGATCGAAGAAAAGACCCCATGACATCCACAAGCTCTGATCCCAGTTGGCATTTGCGTTTTGATCCCCACCAATGGCTGACCAAACCACCTGGGTGGTGAGCGATTTAGCCAAGGCAATTCAGGAGTGGATTCAAAACAGTCGCAAAACGGTTTGCATCACCATCTAAAGGCAAGATACCATCCCAGCACCAATGAGCGCTCCCGCTGCAGCCTCCAAACGACACAAATCACAGCGGCATCGTGCAAACCACGGCATCACTCACGCTGGCGGTTGACGTGGGATCCCTGGTTGACCCAAGCAGAATCTACCAGACTTGGTCCTGTCATGTGGTCCTAGGTCTGGTCCGGTATGCTTCCCCACACCCACATCAAGACTGGCAGAAGGACTGCTGTTCAAAACTCTGGGAAGCTGGCAAGCAAAGAAACCAGCTGTCCACGGCCATCGCCCTGCAACCAGTCACGCCTGACTTGTCACGCGCGTGCGGCAGCCCGGCTCGCGTGGCGTGCCACACTGGCTTGCATGTGAAGAGAGGCTGGACTCCTTTTGCACCGTTAAGCTTCTGGCCATAGTCTAAAAGCAAGCCAGGCTCGAAGCGCTTCTGACAAGTGAAATCTGTTAAGAGTTGAGAAGCGCTCGAGTGTCCAACATGCGTGAAGAGCCCCCCCCAACATGACAGCATGGCCTCCTGAGCTTTTCAGGCTGCAACAACAACGGCAACAAGTCCTTCTTTTCCTTCTGGACAAGAATCCACTTTCTCCTGGCGTGTTGCGGCCCAACCTGTCTGAACAAGCTGATGCTTGCTGGATGACTAAATGGTGGTTCATTTGGGAACAATTCCAATTTGTGTCAAAAAGTCGTGAAACTGCCAGCCGCCGTCCTTGCGTGTGCAAGGGCAGCTCAGTTCCTTTGCGGCTGTCCTGAAGTCAACGGGAACCTTTGAAGCACTACTGAAGCTGCAAGCAGAAGCAAATTGAAACGTCAGAGCCCAGGCCTGCCACGCAGGCTGAACGATTTTCAAAGGACGAGTCTTGCCCTGGGAGGTCGAATTGGAACTGTTTTTCAACGCAAACCACGGACGTTTGCAGCAGCATTCACCGACAAGAAAAGAAAAAGGCATGAAAACCGAACCCGCCATGACATGGCCTCTTCAACTTCAGATGGAGCAGCATCCGCAGCCATGACTCCATTAGGTCGCTGACTCGTGGGTTAAATGTTCAGGATAGACAGGCCAGGGATATTGGACAATTTGGTATTCCTTGGATGCGGTGAATTGTTGTATGTTTGGCGTTGCAGATATGCGCATGGGCTGCCTATGTATATACCTAATTGAGGTTCAATGAAGACTTCGTACTTCGTGCAGTGCATCCTGTAACACAATGTTGTGAACAATGACAATGTTCCCCGAGAAAACGAATTTGCTGCGTTCTTAGTTCCTTGACTGGTAAGACTTGGGTGTTTTCTGCTTGGCATCACCTTCATCTGAAAACAAGAGCTCGGCGGAAACGTATTGTAAAGGCATGAACAAACTCACCGCAACAAGCCTCACCGAAGTGGTGCAGACATGTTCAAACCAGTTGCTGAACGAACATTAAAGTCACTACCGGGCATGAATTTGTCAATTCAACGTTTGATTTCACAAAGCAAGAAATCAGCGCTCCT